GAGTGGTGTAATAGGGTGATGGCTGGGGGAGTGGGGGTGTGTGTGCATGCATGTGTGTGAGCATGTGTGTGTGAGTGTGTGTGTTTTCATCTGTGTGTGTAGACTCACGTTTGCCAGAAGATTCATGATACTTGGACAATTGCCCCAGCAATCCAGAGAGAAGTACAGAGGATGCACTGGGAATGAACTAGGGTTGCCCAAGGACCTGAATGCTGCCTATCTGAAGGCTGTAAAACTCCCATGCAGGGAAGCTTCAGAGTTGTGCGTACATAGCTAGACATAGCAAGCAGAGAACCAGCTCCCTGTTAGTGCTTCTGAGGTGAATTCAGGCTCTCTTGCTGCAAAGGCACCAAATGATGTCCACTCAATAACCTGGGCACAGCTCCTTATGATTGGCACCAGATGCCTATGTGGGGTGGGAAAGGAGGATTCTCTGCCCACCACTCTACTTTTGTTGTTATATCTGCCACATGGAGGATTTCAGGGAACAAGGAGGGGCAGTAGAGTGCGAAAACAAACAGAAACTGACCTGAGAAAAGAAGGCATCAGGATATTTACTAAAGCCTACATTATTTGCAGACCAAGCCAATGCAAAAAAGCCCCAGCTTATCCTACCTAGAGGGAACAGGAAAGCTGTAAGAAGCCCCAGGGCTTCTCCAATCTGCACATCACCCCACATTGTGAAGGGACTCCTAACTGAAGCTCTCATATGCCATACTTGCCCCTGTCAGTCCTTTCCCTAACTCACACAGAAATGTCTCTCAGAGAGAAGCACAGACTTCCACCATGCACTCTGCGTAGTCTGAAGTTCAGAGAGTGTATCTGGACAGTAACCAAGGACAACCCAAAGGCCTGAATGATGCAGGACACGCAGGTTCTACAAGGGCTTCCTGATGTGTTTTTCTCACAGTATTTAATGACCCTTATTGCAGGATCCTGCCTTCCAGCTCCAAAATGTAGTAGCTTGGTGCAGCAATCACAAAGTACGTGTCTGGGAATAGCGATGCCCTGATCTTTCCTGTCTGGTCCCAGGCTTTCACAATTTTAAAACAGTGATGCTTTGCTCCCTGATAGGAACTGTTTTGGGGCAGAATTAGGATTGTTACTTCACCCTTCATCGACTGGGGATTAGATAACAATATGCTGAATTCATAAAAGTAGTGAAAGAGGTTAAAATGTAACTAATGATAATCAAGTGATAATCGTTTTCCACCAGCAATAATTAACCATTTGGAATTTGGATGTTTCCAGGCGCATGTCCAAGTCTTTCAAATTAAGGAGACTGGCCAAATAGCAGCTTGTAGAAACCTCCCTGTGGGTTTTCCTTGTGCATCAGTACCGAGTGGCTGCTGCCTGAGCACACACCACTCCAGCTTCAGCTGCACAGTGCAGCTCCATAGGAACATCCTGTTCTCCATGTTGCATCCAGCACTGATGACCAAGATGGTAATGACACATAATAAATGCTGTCTTCCGAGACCGCAGCAGGTCCTAATCCAGAAAACATGGAGCTGAGCAGAAATCTACTGACATTGGCATACTGAAACAGGCGGTTCAGGGCACAGTTAGCTGATACACACACAAGACATAACATGTGCGCTGAATCAGGACACAGATTTACAGATCTGCTTCTAATGTCTATTAGAAATAGACATCAGGGCAGGCAGACTGCAGAATTACGGTACAGCTTGGAGGAAATGCCCTTTGCTACCCATGAAAGGCTCTCAAAGAGACAAAATCAGAAGGGAAACAGACTGAAAGGTCTTGTTGGTGTAGTCACTACACTCTGCCACAAACTGTGTTGTTTGCCTCCTGCAGTGAAGAGAAGAAAAGTCACTTTGTACACTTTTTACAAATTAAAATGTTTATAAGCACTCAAAGAGTACAAAACAGTTGGCACTGTATAATGCACTCAAATGGGTGACAGCTGTTGGATGCCAAATGAACATACATGTGGCAGTTACCCTCCATCTTCTTTGCTTTGCCAAATGTTACAGCACAGCCAGGGGCAAACATTTTCTGATGGGTGACACATTGAAAGCTGCAGAGAAAACGGAGATAGCTTTCAATGAGACAGCGCAGCTACTGGGAGCAATCAATACCTGAAGTCTCTGAGTGCTGAACGGACTAATTTAGCCAGAACCTTGCCAGGGAGCATTACCCTGTGTGGCACTCTTGTGTTGAGTAGAGTGCTTTGGGTACCCAAACATGCGTATTTAAAGCCAGCTTTGAAGTGTCCAAGTAGCATGTCAGATAGAGTTAGACAAGGACAGGGCTAAAATAAGTGCTCACTGCAGCTGAACACCACCCCCCCCACACACCCCATTCCTCTGCTCTCAGCAGTTCATTCCTCCTCGCTTGTTTGTGCTGCTGCTGACACTCACCTGCCCACACTCTGAACTGATTCAACTTGATAAACCAGCAGAAAATCAATATAGAGGAAAAAAAAGCAAAGTTAGCAGGTAAACAAATGAAATTTTCTAGGCAAAGGACCATGTTGCAAGCAAGGCAGTGAGTGATGGGGTATGTAGATGGTGGGCTAGAGGAGTGGAAAGGAAGTGGAGGGGAAATGGCCTTTCACTGCCTTTTTTATGCAGTGAGAAATTAATTGGTCTCTGCTGTATTGTCTAAATTGAACTCGGCACTTTGCAACATAGATAGCCTGTATTTAAGTGATTTTACAAGGTCTGATCATTGGGTGGCAGCTCTGAGCCAATGTTTTTATCTGCCAGGGCAGAACTTGGGGAAAAAAAAGATGGGTTCTTCTCTGGTTTAGCTAAACCATTCAGCAAAATAGCTATTTAAGAACTGTTTCAGTCACCTATAAACAGCCGATGTGCTTGAAATATAGGTAATTATACTATAGCAATTAGAAATAGAACATACTAATTGCATCCAAGCTTCTGTAGCACTTTCCTCATGCCTTCTAGTTTTTCTTGCAGTAATAGGTATTTTGCAGTTTAGGCTTATGCATTTTTGCACAGGTCATTTTGCACGATACCAGTTTATTTCCTGTTCTTCTTTTTCTCATTTAACCCTCCAACTTCAGCCTATCTCCTGCTACCCTGAATGATTCCAACCTTTGGAATCTCCTCTGCAAATGATTTTGAATGCCTCATTAAACAGTAACAACGGTATGAACAGCAGATAGGCACTGCAAGGACTCTTGTCAGAGTCTTCAGCCTGCTATTAAATTCAGTCCTTTATGCTGTAAAGCTTTCACTGAAATGAAACTTAAATTCAGTGCTACATCTATCCTGAAGTAAGCCCAGTATTCCTAAAAGAATGGAGTACTTACTGCCGATCCTGCTTATAATGGGATAAAAGAGAAATCCAGCACTGCTTGAAGTGGCTGGAGATCACAGCAAAGAGAGAGCAAGTGAATTGACTTCAGTGGATTTCTGTCTCGGGCACTGGAGTTGAAACACAACTGTGTCTTTAAGTTTAAAGGTATTTAGAGCACTTATCCATCAAGAGAGAATGATTTTTTGAGGGTTAGGAATTCCCTGTGGTGTTCCCCTTGATAGTGGTTAAGCAAAGGAGCAAGAAAGTAAAAAACCCAACCAAATAAACAAAATAAAAAAACCTCAAATGGTATTTTCCTCAGGGTTCTCTTTGGGTTTTGTTTGCCACAAACTCCTCTCTGAGGATCTGAAATGTTGAGGGGGCAGTGTGGGACGGTGGACAGAATCAAAGCTTCATGGGCTGAAGCTGCTGAGAGCAGTGACCCAGTATCAGAGGTGGGATTGCTGCACTTGGGAACAATAGAGAGGTTTAGAAGCAACATTCCCTTACAGATGGACAAAGGACGCTCTCAGCTCTGGGCAAAATAGGGGAATGGGCTGCGTAACCAAGAAGCTTTCAGGTTGTATTGCTGATTTTAGTAAAAAGACCTACCAGTGTTTATGCTGAGTCACCATTTTAACCATTTTAATAACATTTCTTTTCTTTTAAACTCTTGGATTTATTGGTCTTGAGCAGGAAAACTGATTATCCAAACTTATTATGTGCCTGAGCAAAATAATTTTCTTTCCCT